AAAAAATTGATCCATTTATAATCTTCGGACAGTTGAATTAATGGATCGTCGATTTTAAAATTATAACAAAAGGCGTAGGTCGTTAGAAGAAGTTCTAATATAAACGTTAGGTTTTTCTGTTCTTTTTGATTTTTTTAAAGACTAATTGAGTAGTTGCTATAAGTTTTGTTAAAAAAAAACTGGTGGATCTGTCCAATTGTGAAGTATTTGACAACTTTAAAATTTTACAAAATAATATCAAATAAAATAATATTTTCAAAATAGTTTTTTAATAAAATATCATTGTGTGGTCAAATAAATTTGAAAAACTATTTCAAAAATATTGTTATTCTTAGAACTGCCGGAGGATGAAATTATTAAGATTCTAACCTGTGATTTGGTAGTTGTGTCAGAACGTTTCAAAAAGATTCTCATTGGTAGGATGTTCTACTGCAAAGGTAGAAGCACTAAGGCCCTTCTCGCTCAATTGTCAAGAGCAAGGATATGGGATCTGGAAGGGAGAGTAAAGGGAACAAACCTGGAAAATGGAAGGTTTCAGTTTGACTTTGAAAGGGAGGAGGACATGATAAAAGTTCTAGCAAAATGGCCTTGTCATTTAAACCGCTGGAGCTTTGCCCTTGAAAGGTGGAAACCGTCTACAAGGGATGACTTTCCTTACACAGTGCCATTTTGGCTTCAGGTAACGGGTTTTCCAGTATACTATTGGAATGATGACACTTTTAAAGCTATTGAAAAATCTCTTGGACAGGTCATGCTCACGGATTTAGAAAGTGCAAGGGTTCAAGTATCTGTCAATGCAAATGAACCTCTCCAGTTTGAAAGGCTTGTGAGTTTCCCAAACATCGATATAGGCAAGATCAGTTTTGAAAGGGCATCGTTACTGTTTTAAATGCAAACATATTTCGCATAAGGAATATACTTGCCCCAAATTGACTGCAGAAGAGAAGAAACGCTTTCAGAAGCCTGAGCAAGAGGATGAAGCGAAGAGTCCCCATGATACCCCACTACAGGTTTGTTGAATGATAAACTTAATTTTGGATCAAGTTTAAATATTGGGTTAAAGATCCAATAATAATTGGGCCAAAACTCAATTATGCTTAATCAAAGATTCTAGAGTTTTCTCTAGAAAAATTAACACATCCACCTCCTTAAAATGTTCTAGAGAGTGGTAGAGAATAAACATCTAAAGATTTCTCTAGATAATTGTAATGAAATAATCTAGATATTAAAGTAAAATAATCTAGATTTAGAATTAAAATATTTTAGATATTTTATATTTTGGAGGCTATAAATAGCACTCCGTCTCTCTTATTTGTAACCAAGAAGTTAAGAGGAATATTAAGAGAAGTTAAGTGAAATTCCTAAGTCCTCTAGATTCTAAAACTTTCTTCTTCTTAAAATTGTTCCTTTGTTTTTCAAGCTCTTAAACACCTTCTCCATCACTCTTAAAAGTTCTTTCTTTCCAACAAAGTGGTATCAGAGCAAGGTTGATTCCCTTCTAAGTTCCAATGCTCACTAAGAGAAACTACGGAAATTGGAGTCTAAGAATGGTGGCCATTCTAGGAGCACATGAAGTGTGGGAGATTGTCCAAAAAGGCTACATTGAACATTGAACTCAAAAGGATAGTTTGAAAGTCTCAAGGAAGAGAGACAAGAAGGCTCCCTGTCTCATCTATCAAGGATTAGATGAAGACACATTCGAGAAGGTCGCCGGATCAAAGATGGCCAAAGAAGCATGGGAGAAGCTTCGAACTTCTTACAAGGGAGTTGAGCAAGTCAAGAAGGTGTGTCTTTAAACTATAAGAGGAGAATTTGAAGCATTGCAATTGAAGAAAGGTGAACTCGTCCAAGATTACTTCTCAAGAGTTCTAGCAATTACTAATATCCTAAAGAGAAATGGGGAGAAGCTATATGAAGTGAGAATCATGGAGAAGGTTCTAAGATCATTAGATTCAAAATTTGAGCATATTGTCACTGTTATTGAAGAGATAAAGGATTTGGAGGACATGAAAATGGAGAAACTACTAGGATCACTACAAGCTTATGAAGAAAAGAAGACCTTACAGAACAAGTACTGACGATGCAAATTGATCAAACCAAAGATGGAAGCGGCCGAAGTCATCCAAGAAGAGGTGGCGGTCAAACACGAGGAAGAGGCTGTGGTTATGGAAATGGACGTGGCCGGAGGCCCTATGAAGACAAGACTAACCAAAGAGGAGAAAGCTCAACAAGAGGACGTGGGAGAGAAACTCCAAAATCAAGGTACGACAAATCAAATGTCAAATGTTATAACTGTGGGAAGCTTGGACATTATGCTTCTGAATGCAAAGCTCCAAACAACATTAGAGTTGAAGAGAAGTCCAACTATGCTGAAGAAAGAAGCCAAGAAGAAGATATGCTGCTAATGGCGTACAAGAAGGATGAAAGAGATGAGGTCCACAAGTAGTACCTTGGCAGCGGTGCAAGCAACCACATGTACGGGAAAAGAAGCATGTTTATGGAGCTCGATGAGTCGGTGAAAGGAGGCGTGGCCTTAAGGGATGAATCAAAGATATATGTGAAAGGTAAAAGAAAACTTCTCATCCGAATGAAGAATAGAAATCATCAGTTCATCTCCAATGTTTATTATATTCCAAGTATGAAGACCAACATCTTGAGCCTTGGACAACTCTTAGAGAAAGGTTATGATATTCGACTAAAAGTTAATAACCTTTCTATACGAGATCAAGTTAACAATCTCATCAGCAAGGTGCCGATGTCAAAGAATTGAATGTTTGTTCTTAACATTCAAAATGACATCACAAAATGTCTCAAGATGTGCTACAAGGAAGAGTCTTGGCTTTGGCATCTTCGTTATGGACATCTCAACTTTGGAGGCTTGGAGCTGCTCTCTAAGAAAGATATGGTGAGAGGACTGTCCTGCATCAATCATCCAAATCAGGTGTGTGATGGGCGCCTACTTGGAAAACAATTCAAAATGAGCTTTCCAAATGAGTCATAAACAAGGGCACATAAGCCATTGGAGCTCATACATACAGATGTTTGTTGCCCAATTAAACCAAGATCACTCGGTAAGAGTAACTACTTCCTTCTCTTTATTGATGATTTTTCAAGAAAACATGGGTTTACTTTTTAAAAGAGAAATCAGAAGCATTTGAGAACTTCAACAAGTTTAAAGCCCATGTTGAGAAGGAAAGTGGCCTTGTGATAAAAGCCATGAGATCTGATCGAGGAGGAGAGTTCATGTCCAAAGAGTTTCTGAAGTATTGTGAAGATAATGGCATTAGAAGACAATTGACAGTGCCAACATCCCCTCAACAAAGTGAGAAGTACATCTTCATTGGGTACGATACAAACTCCAAAGGCTACAAGCTCTACAATCCTGATACGAAAAAGACAATCATCAGTCAGAATGTCATCATTGATGAAGAAGGAGAATGAGATTGGAGACCAAATGATGAGAATTACAACTTCTTTCCACATGTTGAAGAAGATGATTTGGAGCAGCCAAGAGAGGAGCCAATTACTCCACCAACCTCACCAACACCAAGTTCTCAAGGAGATGAGAGTTCAAGTGAAAGGACTCCACGTTTTAGAAGTCTCCAAGAGCGTTATGAAGTAACCGAAAATCAAGAAAACCTTACTCTATTTTGCCTATTTTCGGATTGTGAACCCATGAATTTCCAAGAAGCAATGGAGAAGAAAACATGGAAAAACGCAATGGATGAAGAGATCAAGTCAATACAGAAGAATGAGACATGGGAGTTAGCTTTACTTCCAAATGGGCATAAGGCGATTGGTGTAAAGTGGGTGTATAAAGCTAAGAAGAACTCCAAAAGAGAAGTTGAAAGATACAAGGCAAGATTGGTGGCAAAGGACTATAGTCAAAGAGCCGGAATCGACTATGATAAGGTATTTGCTCATCTTGCTCAAGTTAACGTAGTTGTTAGTGATCATTTGACTATATCACTTGCAGGTTTAAACTATATCTCTCTCTATCTACAAAAATTAATGTTATATTTTGAATAAGAAACAGTAAAAGTACTGCAATGGAGTCATTCTCTCTTGAGTGAGCATATGAATGCCACAACTTTTATTAGACGATTGAATAATTTAGAGAGCCTAAACGAATTGAGTTTTTGTGTTTTAAGAAGGTAAGGATAACAAAGAAGAAGACATGCATAATATATATGTTTCAATGATTTTGCTACAAATTATAGTTTATCACAACTCATATAAAATTTTATATAAAAAATAACAAATTTGTAACGAACAGTATTGTTCCTACTTTTGTTACATATTAATTTGTGGGTTTCCAAATAAATTAGCCACAAGAATAACTTCCTTGCAAATTGTAGCAAATCTTTTAGAGAAATATAAAAATTTGTTACAATATATTCTCTCTGTTTCAGAAAGAGTTTCATTTTAGCACTCTTTTTTGTTACATAAAAAGTATCACTTTAGTTTTTCAATGTAAATTTTCAAATTAATTCTCATCTTTATCCCTACTATTTTAGCTTATTAATTGTAGAAAGAGAATGATTTAGTGTATAAATAAAGGGCATAACAGACATTTATAAGTTTTTCTTAATTTATGTGAAAAAATGTTAGAATTTCACTCTTTGTGAAACGGAGGGAGTATTTTGTTTCTATCATTGTTATGTATTTGTGTGAGCATTCAATATTTTGGCAAATTAATCGAAAAGCAATCTGATGTCAATGTCTGAAAGAAATTCAAAATTTAAAAACAACAAATGAAAAGAGTTTAAAAGTTTAAAATGCACCAAAAGAAAAAATAAGAGAGTTCAAATATGAGAAAAAGTTATTATAAAACAACATAAAACTAGTTTCACTATTATGATGTTCCGAACACATCAGAAAATCTTTTATAGTTTGTCATGCTTGGTCATAACCTGAATTTAAGCTTCCTTTACTCCAAATTACCCTGGAAACATCCATTTATGCTGTTTTTATAATCTGCGACCTCTGTTTCTCCTGTTTTAAGGCTTAGTCAGCTTCAACTTCTTTAGACATGTTGCATTCTGGAGAAAGAAATGCAATATCTCAATCTCATGCCAGTGACCTTTATAGCCGTTGATCTCGACCTCCCTGATAGAGTCTAACTGGTACTTCTGGTTCTCAATCGTTGGCTTATGATGTAAACTCCAAAACATACCAGGTATAAATGTGAAGTTATTAATCTGCACATCATAAACGAGAATATTAATGAAATTAAACCAAGAGAAATATTGATTGAGAGAGAGAGAGAGAGAGACGTACATCGATGGAAATCTTTTCGAGATTAGGGCAGTATTTGAGGAATTCAACGATATCATAAAGAGTGCAGAGTGTTGGAGCTTTAAAATGAATATGGAATTCTTTCAAATTCCAAAATAAGAAAATCGGTTTTCTCATTTTTCCGTCTTCGTATCTTTCGACGAGAGCCTACATATATATGTAAGAGGAGGTATCAAAAGTTTAAATCTCACCCTAAATAAAGAGTGAAAAGATTATGGACAAAATAAAATGAAGTTATATAAAACATAGAAACATAGGAAACAAACGCATGTGATAGCGTAGATATGAACAAAACTTGTTTCATCATAATCTAAAGATTTTTTCAAAAATTGCAAAGATACTATAGAATCAAACAACTCAAGCGTATATAAACTATCAGTGAATAGTATCTAATCGGCACTATTCGGGGCCATAATATGATATAGTTTTTAGTTATAATTTCTTTTTATTAGATTTCATATTTTCCAAAAATATACCATCAGTAATTACTAATCTACTATAGATGCGCAAAATGAAATTTTTTTTTATAAATTTAAGAAAATAAATTTAGAAAAGTAAGATTACCTCAAGAAAGATATTTGTCGTTGTGAGGACATTAACTCCGGTATAGGCTTTCATGTTAACAAGCACCACGTTATTTAAATCGTAGTAACGCCAATTGTAATTCCGATTATAATAAAGCTGTGCCTCTTTAAGCGCATCCACTTTTAAAAAGTAAACTTTTTTAGCTTCTCCACCATATTTGAAGAATTCAAGAGTAGGTGCATCTACAACGATATGCAATAGCTTCGGCAAAGAACAAACGACCAAAGACTTGAATTCCTTATGATTTTGAGCGTTGATTCTTAATACCCCGTTGATTCCACATTTGATTAGTTCAAACGTTTCAAGGAGAATGCAGTTGCTGAAGATTGCATCTATTATCTCTTGCCTTACTTTGGTCTTCATTAGCGCAAGGCTCCTCAATAATCTTAGACCTTTGGGAGTATTATTCGTCGGGATTTCAAATTTACACCATTGTAGCTTTAAGACAGTTAGTGTCTCGATGGCCGAAAAATCAATAGATATCTCCATAACTTTTTTAGATCTGGAAAAATCTAAAATAAGCTCCTGTATCTTTTTATCTATACACATATTGATCCATGAAAGTATTTTATCCTCTACGCCAATATGATTGAGAAGTAGAACAAATCGATTTATCTCCGATCCTTTGTGTTGGTTAAAAATATCTTCAATGATGCGAACAACCGCTGATTGACTGCGATTCACAGAATATATTCCGCTGAAATCAAGATCTCGAGATCGAATCTTTGCATTGTTGAAAAATTTCGACACAACACGATTTTGTATATTTTTTTTGATAGGGTGATACATTGATATGATGTATTCCACCAAATCTTCAGTAAGCTTTATCTTTTCATCAGAGGACTCTGACATTTTTTTTTCGAGATAAGGAAATAGATTTTTTATAATTTTTTTCTCTAATAATGATCTTTATATAGATTAATTTATGAAAAAATTATTTAGATACGCTTTAATGTGTTTTATTTTTATTTATAAACTATAGTCAAAGATATATTTGCTGGAAAAAAAGTCAAAGATATATTTAGGTAATACGGAGTCAGTGATTACGACTAATCTCTTATATATTAATTGAGAAGAATTTTAGAGACTAACCTTATTTTTATAAGTAATTACAGTGGTACCATTTTGCTGATGTTTCATCACCATAGAGCTTCTCAAATTTTTTTTTGAAAAAGACTTTTGTTACTAGAATAATTACATCACTATGTAATTTTACTAATTATGATTTTAAAAACTTTTTAAATGATATATATAATAGATATGAGTAAAAATAATATTTATTTATAAATTTATATAATTAATTTTAATACTATTTTTTATATGAATGTAATAACATATGTAGTCTAATCTGTAAAAACTACAGACGTACAAACGTCGTAGAAACATCAGTATTTAAAAAATGAAAAAATTTACAAGTTTTATTTTAAAATATTAAATATAAATAGAATTCAAACAAAAATAGATTATATATTTTTAATTTTAATATTATTGATCAATTATCTAAATTATATATAAGAGAGTCAATTTATAACTCTTAAGTTATTAGTCTAATAAAAATATTTATAATATATAAAGAAACTGATCAAATTATAATATCATCTTAACAAAATAGTATTTTAGTTTGTACATCAGGTTATTTTATTGATTTAACTAAAAAATATAATATATAACTTTTAATCAAACATAATTATTTATAATATTATAGTTTTTTAGCACATTAAATTGTTTTATAATACTTTTACTATTGGATATAATATATTTTTAGAACCATTTAATTTTTTTATCAGGTTAATTTATATGGTTCTATTAAAAACATTTAATCAAGTTTTGATGTATGTGAAATCAAGTTTTGTGTTTTTACTAATTTTTTTATGTACTTTTATAATAGTATTTGAACCATCTACATCTTCTCATTTCTAATATGTGACTTTTAAAACCTAATTATATTTATTCATCATTTGAATAATTTATATTTGTTTTTAAAAATTTTAATTATAATACATGTGCAAAAAATCTATATATTTTTTATTATGTAAATGATGTGATGATTTTTGTTTTTACAAAATAAGCTTAAATAAAAGAAAGATAAAAACATAGGTTAAGGAAATAATTAATATGATTTTATTTTTTGGTAAATAATAGAAAGAAAAAGAATATTTTTATAATTAAATTTTAAATTAGAGTATATATAATTAATATAAAGTATGTTAAATTAGAGTATATATAACTGATATAAACTATAGTATAAGTAATTAATATTAATGGCAGATGATGTAATTATTCTTGTAACAAAATTTTTTTCAAAACATATCTGAGAAACTCTAAGGTGATACACATCCACAAAATGGCAGCAATGTAATTACTTATAAAAATAAGATTATTATCAAAAAATGCTTCTCAATTAAATATATAGGAGATGTACCATTCATATTAATTGCTTAGACCATAGTTTATATCATATACACATTTAACTATAAAGATATTTTTATTTCTTATTTACCAAAAATAACATCATATTAATTATTTTATTACTCTATGTCCCTTCTCTTGCTTTTGTTTCAGCTTATTTTGTAAAAAACAAAATCATCACATTATTTACATAATACAAAATATATTGATTTTTTTATATATGTTGTAATTTAGACTTTTTAAAACAAATATATATTACTCAAATAATGAATAAATATAAATATGTTTTAAAAGTCACATTGGAAATGAGAAGATGTAGATGGTATAAAAATCATTACAAAATACATTAAAAATAAAAATAAAAATTATTAAAAGTACAAAACGTGATTTAACAGACATCAAAACTTGAATTTTTTTTTAATAAAACCCCACAAATTAATCAAATAATATAAATTTTAAAAAGTTAGAAAAATATATTATATCAAATAGTCAAAATTAAAAACATTTTAATATGTTAAAAACTATAATATTATAAATAATTATGGTTGATAAAAATATATATATTAAAAAATTAAGTTTCAACAATAACATAACCTCATGTACAAATTAAAATACTATTTTGCTAATATTATGTATAATTTGATCAATTTCCTTTTAAATTATAAATAATTTTATTGGAACAATAAGTCAAGTGTTATAAATTGACTCAATTATATATAATTTACACAATTCATCAATAATATTACATTTAAACATATATATAATCTATTCTTAAAATATTCTATATATATTTAATATTTTGAAATATATAATCCATTTTTAAAATATTCCATATATAGTTAATATTTTGAAATAAATATAATTAAGTTACATATAACTACATTCATATAATAATAATATTAAAATTAGTTATAAAAGTTTATAAAAATATGATTTTTGCTCATATCTATTATATATACAATAAATAATTAAATTATTTTTATTTTGAATAATTTTAAAATCATAATTAATAAAATTACTTTTAATTTTTTATCCTCCACATTGCACAGATTATTACCTAGTTGAATATATTGCTTTTACTTTTTGTTTTGTATACAAAATATAAAATTCTTACATTTTTGGCTTTTTTATTATAAATATTATGTAGATTTAGCATTTAATATCTAATAATTCGTGACAAACTAAAAAAATAGATAAAAGTTTATCACGGATGTCAAAACTTAATTTTTGTTTTGAAATGTATTAAAATATAATAGATTAAATCAAGTAAATTAAATATTACAAATTTATGTTAATTTAGTAAAAATTTATAGACATCAAAATTTATATAATAATATTCTATTTTTTGTGAAAAAAACCAGCCTGGATTATCTCTTTTTACCTTTTGTATCAACTTGACACCAAACTCATTTTTGTTAACTGATCCAACTCTTACATGGAATATCTTCTAAAAACAGCTATATGAAAGTTGTTTATGAAAAATATCATATGACAACACAACTAGAAAGTTTGTGTTTAATTAATTTGCATAAGAAAACATTTATTTATTTTTAAATTAGAAATGAAGTATGTAATGTAAATGTTACATAATGATAAAAATATGTGATTATAAAATGGAAATTTCACTTCCGAAACTGTTATATTTTAATTGCTCTACATACTAATTTTTTATAATATAGTATTTATAATTCTTTACCAACAAAACTAATTATTCTCTATAGAAAATATTTGCAATTTTCGAATTTTATTTTCCATATATTATCATGTAAATTTACCTTATACAGCAACATATGTTGTTTTGTTAATTACTAGATTTTTGAAAATGCCTAAACTAATTAAGCTTTTGATAAAAGTTAAATATTAAATTAAACTCTGAATTTAGTTTAAATATTCTGTAATATTGTAACATTTTTGCTAGCTGGTTAAAGGTTTCTATTTTTTTTTTTCATCTTTTCCAAACTTAATTAAATTTAAAGAATGTTAGGTTTTTCTGTTCTATAAAACTAATTGAGTAGTTGTTGTAAAGTTTGTTGATAAAAAACTGGTCGATCTGTCTAATTGTGAAGTATTTGACTTGGCTCAACTCTGAAATTTTACATAGAACTATGAAACAAAATAATAATTTAGAAATAGTTTTCCAATAAAAATATCATTGTGTAGTCACGTAAAATATTTTTCTTTTGTCAATCATCGATATATTATAGAAGTCCATAACTACATGCCAAATATAATGGTATAGAAAAGTCCAGGTTAAAGTTCATAAGAACTCAAAAACGTATACAATTTAAATCCCATTATAATGGTATTCCCTACACATTATTTAAGAAGTATAATTATCAAAAAAGCTTACTTGTGAACACCACATGAAAAGATAGTGTATTTCAATAGTGATTTGTAAATGTGACATGACAAATTTGCAAAAATAAACGAAATATTTTGATTTACTAAATTATAATTAAATAAATTACAAAATTATTATATAAATACATTAGATTATACAGTACATCTCTATAAATTAATAATGTTAGAAATCCCAAATCTTATTAATTTATAGAGTAATTGATTAATATTTTATTTATTTATAGAAACTAATAATTGAGTAATAGATTTTTTTTTATAGAGACATTTTCTAGTTCAAATTCTTGATATTCTTCAAAAGACAAAAATTAAAATTTTCAACAATGTAAACTTCATTCAGAAAGTGTCCTAACAATGAATTTAGAAGATAAATCAAACAAAATTTATAAAAATGAAATAAAAATATAATCATATTTTATGATATTATATAATTTATATATGTCTAAATATATAATTAGTAATCCACATAATTATTATGACCATATTTTTCCATATGAGTTCTGAAAAGAAAAAGTCCTATTGAAATTTGCTAATTTTTACATTGGCACGACTTGGTACCAACAAAAATTATTAATTTATAGTGATTACTAATTTATCGAGTATTGAGTTTATAGAGATTTTACTGTAACACTCAAATTAACAGAAAATAATAGTTATAATGATTTCAATTTTTAATGTATATTCATTAGATTGCATAAAATATAATTACGAAGTAAAAGTAAAAACAAAATATTTCTCTGCATTTTTGGTTTTCCATAAAGCTCTCATGTGTTTTTTTACGAAGTCATTTAAAATTTATAAAAAGTAAATTTTATAAAAAATTCATGTGCGGTCAAAATTTATAATGAACACATGTGTGCAGGCTAACCATACAAAAATTATTTCTTCATCAATCCATTTTTTTAATAATGAACGAAGAGATGAGCTGAGAGGTGCCAAAAGTATTTATAAAATATGGTTTCACAAATATTATAACAAATTTTTATTATTTTATTAAAATAGGAAAATTAATACTAGATTATCAAATGTACAATATATATTTTAATGGCGTAACATAAAATAATATATTTTTTATTTTTTAGAAGTTCTTTGTATTTTTTGTTACTATTTAATATATTTTTAACTTGAAACCGCATCAAAATGTTTTAAAAAAAAGATAAAATTTTTTTGATCAAATACAAAATAATAGAAATAGTTTTGGTGATTATTGTTAAACAGCAAAAACTGTACCGTGTAAAAACATAACGTTTATGGAAAGTATTAGAAAAACTAATCAATACCTAAATATTATAATTTTATTTCTAACCCGTATATCTATGCATAAACATATCTATCTATTTATTTTTAAAATTCAGACATACATTATAAAAATATATATTACAAAACATATATTTTGTTAGTTTCTTTTAACGCATAAAAGTCATACTTCGACTTTTTCAAAAATATGCATGTAAATATGAATATTAATTACATAAAAGTTAAAGTCGCATGTGAACTTGTCGTGCATGCATTTTGTTAACTTCTATTACAGTTCAGTTTTTATTTTAATTATTAGACAACTTATGTTTATTTTTTGAAATCTCTATGTGCGGGCTAACCATCCATCTGCTCTTATGATTAGTAAAGATAGTAAAATCTATTTTTTTAATTTGTAATAGATCAAGAAAGAAATATGTACTTAAAATATATATGTATTAGCAAGATTATATTGTGTAAAGAAAAAATAAAACATAGTATAGCTAATATTCAAAAAAATATTGTAAGAATTTAATTATTATTTAATATAAATTTTACATTTATAATTATATATCTCTATAAATAATAGAAAAATAAATAAGTTTTAAAAAATATCAAAATTTTTTGAATACCTACACATTGCTTGGAATTAAAGGGTGGTCCTCCAATCATGTATCTTTTTAATATGAAAAGAAATGCAATATCTCAATCTTATGCCAGTGACCATTATAGCCGTTGATCTCGACCTCCCTGGTAGAGTCTAACTGGAATCGTTGGCTTAGAGCATCTGTAATGGACAGTTTTGAGAGGGTTCTAAATAAAAAAAAGGAAAAAGAAAAAAAAATAAAAAAATGACCTGGCGAGATTAAGAGGCAGAGTCGACTCTCTGCGCAGGGGCGGAAGAAGCGTCTCTCTGAAACGTGGCTAGACGTGATTTGTGTTGAAAATCAAAGTTTTCTTTTCTCTCTGGTTTCAATCGATCTTCTCTCTTCGTCTTCTTCTTCTTCTCTTCTCATCTCCGATTTGCATTCTATTGAGCAGTTTCAAAATCTTAAGTAATTGTTTCCTATAAATAGTCGGAACTTCTGGGATTGTTTGATTGCTTCTGGTTTGCAGTGGGTTTGTTTAAGAAGTTGGCGGGTGTGTTTGGATTTGGGCAGGAAAGGGTGAGAAACAAGGATAATGATGGATGAGACAGTACAGCAATCGATTTCGGTGACGGAGATAAGCGACGCGGAGATAACCAGCCGAGATTTCGTGAAACCGAGCTACCCAGAAAAGGATTCGGAGTTCCGGTTCGAGTTGCCGTCGAAAGGTCACAACTTGGTCTTCGCTCTGCATTAGTGCATTCTATTGATTCACGTTTAATAATCTATTTAGCTTCGTAGGATATGACTCTCTCTTGTCGATTTTGTTCATTTGAGCTTTTGATCGAGTAGATTGTTGTCTTTCTTGATTCATTTGTTGCTTTATAAGCTTCCCTGAGTTGTAGATTCCTGATTGTGATGAAGTGATTCTGTAATTTATTGGGAAGGAACGAAGAAGAAAAGGCTTTTATGTTCTTGTGATTATGATGAATCTGTTTGGGTTTATACAAACTTTGAACTTTTTTGGTAATGTTAGATTGCTGGTTTTCCCGGAGTTGCAGAATCTTTGTTTGAAGCTAGACAAGCTGCGATTGCTCAGGAGAAGATCAAATCTGGTGAAGCACCTATGCTTTATAGCTGTGGAATCTGTGGTGAAGGTTACAAGAGCCCCAAGGCTCATGAGCAGCATCTGAAGTCGAAGAGCCACATTGTGAAGGCTTCATCACTAGAGACAAGCAACGGAGAAGAGGATACAAAGATAATCAAGCAGCTTCCTCCTCGTCGTGTTGAGAAGAACGACCCTGCTCAGTTAAAAGGTTCGATTGAGGCATAGTTGTGCCTATATTGTGCCTTTGTTTGATGTTTTAGATAACTCAAAGTAGGATGCTGATACGCTAAACGTATCGGAACGGTAGAACAAAGGCACAATCTAATAATAACACTCTTTATTATAGATTGATAAACGTAAAAACACGATTAGAGAGAAGGGTTCGAGAGGTCTCTCTTCCTCTCCCACACACTTTGATCAACTCCGTGATACCCTTTTCCCAAGACCCTATTCTCTCTTTAACGCTAACGATGACTCAGGACACGTGCCCATTCCCTCTAGAGACTTCTAGATCCTTCTTCCACTCTTATTGGATATTCAGGTGCAAGACCCAGCCAGGGCCTACTAAGTGCACCGATCACTAATTCCCATTAGGCCTCACACGTAACAGATGCAATGAGTTCTAATTCTCTATGATCTACATAGGTGGCTCAGACTTGAAGTATGATACAAGAAGAGACTTGGATGATGTGGGTGCCACATGCGTTGGAGGTATTATCTTGATTGTGGTTGTTAATCGAGTTTGTTATTCACTTATTTTCTTGGTTCCATAATGCTTCGTATGTTACGCAGAAAGCTTATTTAGATACTTGTTATGACTGATGACGTAGAGTAAATATATTAGTTCAGGGTTATAATAAAGCGCTTAACACTCTTTACTTTCTCCGTTTATGGTGTCATCATGCCTAGAGAATGTTATGTGTAGCTGATGTTTGTATATGTATTCGGTCGGATTTGTGATTATTAATCTAGTGAGCCTGGAATTATTTTCAAAATATTAAGAAAGGGAAAAATATAACAGATCATGGCAACGATGTTGGTGAATAAGTTTTCTGATCTTTTGCAATCTGTCAAGTGAATATGTGTGTGTCCAGTCTGATTATCATTGCTTTGTTTTGTCTGCAACTAAATAGCAATATGTTTTACGTGCAGTGAATCCCTTGAACAAGCTACCTGATTCTAAGCTTGACTCAAAGAATGTCGGTGTTTAAGACGGAGTAGTATTCTTGACATACAATAGCCTTATTGCTTCCTCTGAGAAGGGCCGTTCTCGTTTGCAGCAGCTTGTTTGATGGTGTGGACCAGAATTCGATGGTCTCTTGATCTTTGATGAGGTAGCAAATCCATGAATGATGTATAGCAAATCCATGAATGATTTCTGATTTTATCATATTTGAGCTAAGTATTAGTAGAATATTTTTTAATTTTTAAGAATCTTGTCAAAGTGTTCTCTATTGTATGTCTTAAAAGTTTTTAAAAAAATGAATGAAGCTCTTAATTTAAATTAATAATATATTTAATAATAAAATATACTTAAGAATCTCATAAAAGAGTTGTCCATTGTGGATGCTCTTATGTCTTATGATGTAAACTCCAAAACATACCAGGTGCAACTATTAATCTGTGCATCATAAATGAGAATAGTAATAAAATTAAACCATTGGTGGAAGAGAAATTTTGATTTTGATTTAAAGAGAGAGAGACGTACATCAATGAAAATCCTTTCGAGATTAGAGCAGTATTTGAGAAATTTAACGATATCATAAAGAGTGCTAAGTGTTTAAATTTTAAAACGAATATGGAATTCTTTCAAATTCCAAAATAAGAAAACCGATTTTCGCATTTTTTCGTCTTCGTATCTTTCGATGAGAGCGTATACATCCATGTAAAAGGAAGTATCAAAAGTTTAAATCTCACTCTAAATAAAAAAATTGAAAAGATTATGGACAAAATAAAATGACGTTATATAAAACATAGGAATTAAACACATGTGATAGTCTATATATATATATGAACAAAACTTTTTTCATCATCTGTTAAAGAGTTTTTGAAAAATTACAAAGATATTATAAAATCAAACAACTCAAGCGTAGCTAAACTATCAAAGAATAGTATCTAACCAGCACTATTCCGGGACATAATATCATATAGTTTTTAGTTATATTTTTTTATTATTATCAGATTTCATATTTTCCAAAAATCATCATAAACTCTACTAAGCTACTATGGATGCACAAAATGAAAAATTATTTTATAAATTTAAGAAAATAAATTTAGAAAAACAATTACCTCAAAAAAGATATTTGTCATTGTGAAGACATGAACTCCTTGTATAAGCTTTCATGTTAGCAAGCACCACGTTACTTAAATCATAATAATACTAATTGTAACTTCAAATTATAATGAAGTTGCGCCTCTTTAAGTGCAACCACTCTTAAAAAGTTAACTTTCTTAGCATATCCACCACATTTGAAGAATTCAAGAGTAGGTGCATCTACAACTATATGAAGTGGCTTCGGCAAAGAACAAACGACCAAAGACTTGAGCTGTGATGTTTAATACCCCATTGATTTGGCATTTGATTACTTAAAACATCTCGAGAAGAACGCAGTTGCTAAAGATTGCATATATTTTTTTTTTCTTACTTTGGTTTTCATTAGCGCAAAGGTCCCCAATAGTCTTAGACCTTTTGGAGTATTATTAAGGATTTCAAATTTACACCATTGTAACATTAAGACAATTAGTGTCTTGATGGCTGGGAAATCAACAGATATCTTCATAATTTTTGATTTAAAAAAATCTAAAATAAGCTTCTGATTTTTTTTTTTTTATCTATATACATACTGATCATTAAAAGTATCTTATCTTTTACGCCAATATGACTGAGGAGTAGAACAAATCGATTTATCTCCAATATTTTGTATGGTTCAAAATATCTTCAGTGATGCGAGCAACCATTGATTAACTGCAACTCACATAATATATTCCGCTGTCAAGATCTCGTGATCGAATCTCTGCATTTTTGTGGATCGATCGGAGAGACAGAACTGGAGGAAACATTATTTTTTTCTGATTGGCTCACCAGGGCGTCAATGTCACTTTATCCTGGCGGGTATGGGTAAGCCTGGCTATCTGATCGGTTGTCCCTCTTTTTGATTTCTCTCTCTTAATTTACGGCTTCCTTCTAAGCAGTGTTTAAGACCTCATGGATTTAAGATCAATCGACCATGGAGCGTTTGTCCGCGTTGAATGTGAGGTTCTAGACTTTTGACTTTCTGTTGTCTCCTGTTTGCAGTCATGAAAGCTTGTTCGTGCTCCTATTCCACGTTCCGATATGCATATCATGCCTGTTTCCTTTGGAAGTTCCTGGTGTTCCTTGGTTTTTACCGTGTTTTGATTGATCCTTGTGCAGTAGGTTTGGAATCTTGGCTAGAATCCCTGTTCAGGACCTATGCCTCTTGTAGGGTTGCTGTCCAATGCTCGGAATACTTGGAATGCAGAGAGATTGTTTGCTCAGTGTTTTCCAAAGAGACTGTTTTTCTTCACCCACCGGCTCCTCTTTGCGGATGGGGTCTTCCTCCGCTTGCACAGGCTCACTGTTCTATGTATCTTCCTTTTTGGAATCTGGCTCTCCTGCGGTAAGAGAGGTGACGCTCGATTCGGCAAGTCCCTCCCCGTCAGCTTCTCCTTCGGGCCTCCAGGGTTCAGTAGAGGGGGTAAGCCTGTTATGCCTTTTCCATTTTGCTTTTCTCAAAACATAGATGTCTTGAACCTCTCCGTCCCTCTCGCCAGGTCTCAGACCGCTTTCATTGCTGGAGCACGAGTTGTTGGTGGCCGATTGTCGCGAGTGCGTCTTGGCGGATCGGGCCAGCAAGCTCCAGATCAAGCTGATGACGGCCTGATACCAGCTCGCCAAGGCGCAGTCTTCCACCCACGGAGGAGAATTGGGAGGGAGGTGAACTGTCTTAGGACGGCGTTGGGTCACAACCACCGTGACTTGGGTCACCGGAATTTCAAGATCTGCCTTCTTCTCGACACCATCGCGGTGTTCCAAGGTTATGTTCCAAACGCGGAGCCTAGTGCCACACTTGTGTCTGTCCGGGCGCTGGCAGATAACCAGACCAAGCTACCAAACTTCAGAAAGAACGTGAAGCAGGATGGCGGGGGCAAATAGGGCTGAAGATTCTCGTGTGCTCTGGGATCATGGTGGCAATCCTTCGAGCTCAGCGGCCAGTTCTTCTCGCCTGTTATCACCCAAGTTGCCGTGTGTTTGAATATTTTGGGGTGTTGCCTTTTTTAACTTGTATTTCAAAACATTTGTTATATCTTTTTCTTTTTCTTTTTGTGGCGAACAAGCTCAGCTGTTTTAAGACCTTATTAATTTGATTCTTTTGTTGTTTTATTCACGTCTTTGTTGCGTTTACTCCCCAGAATAAATGACATGCACCTTTAGAAACTGCCATCTGACTTGACTTGACATGTTACAATGACGAACTGACTTTCTTGGCCCGAGGCAAACACTAGAAATTTTCCCGACTAATTGTTTGAACTGATTGGATTCTTGCGCACGTTTTTCCTAACGTGTTGTTTTCCCGGGGAGAGGATGAGTAATCAAACTTGACTCTTTAGGATTTCCTTGCCCACGACGTTGAATTAGCATAGGGGGTAAGGTGTTTTTTTGGCCTCCACTATCGTCCTTTCTCTGCATTAGGAGATGTTTTACTTGACTGGACCGAGGCCTTGGATCCCAGCAAGGGTCGGGCCCTGCCCCTCTGACACCTCTGGGGCGACGGTTTGACCCGACTCCTGGGCCAAGGGTCTCGTCCCCACTCCATTTCATTTTTTAGCTTTCACCGCGTGGTGGCTTATGGGCAGCTCCACTCTCCTTAGTCACCACAGGTCCGCAGGCTTCTGGGACCGTTTTGGCGGGTGGTCGACATATAGCTTTGCAAACTACTTTCTTAATGAGATTTCATACCAGTTTACACCTCTCTTTCTAGCGCTAATCGTCTGAGAGAAAATTAAGGATGCTTACGTGGGGTATATGATCGTCTGAGTTGTGGAGACGAGTCTCCGAGTTTCATCATATGGAAGGATAAGCGGTATGCAGTCCCAGAACGAAAGTCTGTCTGGTCCTTCTAGATTTCCGGGAGAACCGGAAGGAGGTTTCCCTCCCAAAGGTTCTCTGATGCTCAAGTTAGATTACACCCTACTGGAAACAAATACTCGGGAGGCTGGATATGTGGTGCTGTTTATGGTTTGGGTATCCCATCCAAAGATCGTCACACTCGTTTGATATTTGGTGAGGTTGAGCGTATTATGGATGGACTATGGTGAGAGTGGGGTTGGAACTCTTTCTACATGGGTGTTAAAGCAGAGGGTATAGGTGAAAAAAGAAAGCTTAAATCGACTGGCGTATCTCCCGGGGGATCACAGACGTTCTCCTTTCAGTCTTGTTGTATGACAGGGGTCGTTGAGATTTTCGGAGATGGTCTTCGAGCCAAGCGGTTTCCTTTTTTTCTCTCGGTTCATCACTCTAGTTTAGGCATTTTCTCTCTTTAGGATGGATTCAGGATCTCCTCTCCTCCCATCTGTGGCTCAGTCCCTTCTATTTTTGACCTTTTTCCTTGCTTTTATACTTCCTCTCTCCTGTCACATCCCATCAGTGCGGCGCATGGTTGGAGTTGTGGGTTAACGCAGCATGCCTTCGATTGAAAAGTTTGTCAACTGCCTGGAAACAGTCCGCTAAAGAGCCGTTGATGCAGACCTAAGCGAGAAAGTAAACTTTTCGACAGAACCTACTACCGACATGTCATTTCGTAGTTGGTTACAGTAAAAATGGACCCAACACATACTTATACTTCTTAATAATTTTACTAATCAAGATGTTGAATTTTTTCAAAGTAAAAATAATTTAACTATTTTTAATTAGTTTTATATAGACGTTAATAATATGTATGAGTAGCAACAAGAATTTTTTATACAGTTTTATAATTTATTATATGAGTGTAATTGTATATTTAACTAATCTACAAAAATTAAAGTCATAAAAACATCAGCATTCAAGAAACACAAAAATTGTTAAATTAAATCATATTTAAAATATTCAATATAGATAAAAAATATATACAAAAGAATTATATATTTTTATTATTAATCATTAATCTAAATTATATATAACTTGATCAGTATATATAAACTATTAACTTCTTAATCCAACAAAAATATTTATGATATAAAAAGTAATTTGATCAAATTATAACATACATTTTAAAAAATAATATTTAAAGTTTTAGCCAAGTTATTTTTTGATTAAACTAAACTTTTTTAATATTTATATTTTTGTATCAACCGCAAATATTTATAATATTATAATTTTTTAACATATTAAACTATTTTTAATATTTTGTTATTGGATATAATATTTTAAGTTTTTGACCAAATTTAAATATTTATATTATTTGATTAATTTAAATACTTTTATTAAAAAATTATATTAAATCAACAAATATTTATTCAAAGCGCAAG